ATATATATATGTCTGGTACATCTTCAAAGAGTTAAAAACGATAACAAACACACAAACAAACAAAGCAAACAAACAAACAAACAAAACCTGTAACGAGTGTGGTCATGTCCTCGACGTTGAGCTTGGTCCATGTAGTCATCATCAGTAATTATTATTCACCCTAATTAGATGGGGAAGAGCAGTCCATGTTGCCCAGCTTCCTGCTGGCAAATAAAAAAGTGGGACTTAACTCGCCGATGTCGACAAATAAGCGTAGCCTTTTATCTCCAAACGCTTTATCACTGTTTGAGCCAAGACTGGGTTTTCCCAGTCAGATGAAAATGAATCTACGTTGCGATAACAATTGTGAATATAGTTCCCCTATCCTGGCTTTTTGTTAGTTTTACCCTGCTGTGTCCAAGTGTTTTGCATTGCAGGGAATCAAGCTGTGTTAAGTCAGTATGATATTATATTTGTCAAAACTGACGGTGAAGTTCGGTTGTAAGCGCTTGCTCCAAAGTGCGTAACTAAGCTTAATTAATCCAGTATTTCTTTGTAGTACGTTGTATTTATATTATATAGGTGTATTATATTAGGTGTGGGGTTCGCTCTATTGCACAGGATCGTGGAGGCCCTGTGTTTACTAGGTCAAGCAAATTCCGAATGACAATGACAGAGAGGGGGGGGGGGGGAGTTTACCATTACCGATTGTATAAAGTCTTTAATGCGTCGTTCATGTCGTTGGTTGATGGGTGCACTGTTGTGGTTTGCTCCTTCTATCCTGTTAAACATCTATCATCTTTATCTTTATCTTTATCCTCCTCCTTTTTTATGTTTGTTACTCTCTTGTAATACCTCAAATCTTTGGCATTTATAGGACCTTATTGTGTTGCAAGCGCTGTAAAATTTTACTAAAACTAAGAGACTCATGAGCATTAACTGACTTAATTTCCTTTCGGTCTTTTAAAATTCTATGCCAAGGCCAACTTTGATTTTGTCTGTGTTTAGAAAAGATTTCCTCCGCATAATATTCTGTCTGACGGTTAAATTTTCTCAAAGAAATAATATGAAAATATTCAGTGTGGACGGTTGGAGGGTGGCAGCTGTAGGCCCTACTTCTCTTTTTCCTTCTGTTGTTTCTGATTATCGAAAGTATGTGTTCATTAATCTCCACTTCTTGCTCAGAGAAGGCGAGAGGGAGAGAGAGAAAGAGAGAGAGAGAGAGAGAGAGAGAGAGAGAGAGAGAGAGAGACAGACAGACAGACAGACAGACAGACAGACAGACAGACAGACAGACAGACAGACTGACAGACAGACAGACAGACAAGGGGTTGGGGGGAGGGTTCGAGGAAGAGCATTTTGTCAGTACCCTAATCATTTCCTGTTCAAGAAAATATATTCAGTTTATTATTTGTTTTTTGTAGATCTGTTCGTACAGGTGTATGTTTATTTGAGTTCTTAAATTTTTGTCTTGTGTTTGTCAATCAATGTATTGACTCTTGCTCATATTCTTTCATTCAAATTACGTACATGTACTTAATTTTTTCTTTGATTTTTTCGATCACTTATTTTTTCATTCATTTACTAAATCATTCATTCACCTACTTTTTTTTCATTCATTTATCCAATCATTCATTCAAGCACTTATTTTTTAATTCATTTATCCGATCGTTCCTTCAATCACTTCCCTTTTTTCATTCATTTATCCAATCGTTCATTCAATCACTTCCCTTTTTTCTATCATTTATCCTGTTGTTCATTCAAATAGCTATTTTCCCTTCATTTATTCTCCAATCATTCATGTCCACAGACTGCACTGCTGACCATTCAGGGTGACCTCTAACCCGACATCTGACCTTTCGTTGAGTTGAGTAACCAGGGCAACAGGCATCAACAATGTCTAGCTGGTTGGGCTACACCAAGAAGATGCTGGGCTCGGCCATCTCCACCATAGCTCAAGAACTCGAGCAGACAGTGGTCGACTTCAATGGTGAACCTCTTCTATTTTCTAGTTAAAAACCTGGGAACATAACAGCATATGTGAGGCAGCGTGGGGAAATCAGGCGCTCATCAAAATTCTGAAATCGAAGAAACTGGAATTTTTCTGGCAATTTTACAATTTTTATCGAATTTTTTATTTTTGGCATAACATTCTTGTCCAATTAAGAACACATTTCAGGATGGATTTTTACTGCTTGTTAAAGGCGCAAAAAATGTCAGTTTTCAGTTTCCATGACTATCAAGCTATGAAAATAACAAAACTTTGGTGGCGATTTGCTCGCTAATTGTACCTTTGAAACCAGATGACTCGACCTTCTTAAATAACAAACATCTTGACTTCTATTCAAGATAGATGGGTATTTTTTTTCACCGATAGCAAGACCACTGAACAATCTTTAAGATGAAACCAGTTACTCTACATGCCCAAAAATTGATGAGCGCCTGGTTCCCCCACGTTATGACACACATTGTGTTTGGGGTCAGTCCTTTTATATTGTAACTGTAGATCCTGTCTTAAATATTTTGTTTGTTTGTTAGTACTTAATTAATTAAATGTGTATATCCTGCAGCTTACACTGTTTGCTTTTCAGGAGCCCGAGATTGTTTCTGAGTTTTTAGGGTCCTCTGGTGTAACAATAGTTCTACAGCTTTTAGAGTAGCCTATACTGCACAGCGTGGATGTGTGCTATATACATTTTAGTATTATTATTATTATTATTATTATTATTATTATTATTATTATTATTATTATTATTATTATTATTAATTAATTAATTAATGATTTACACCTCATTTGACTTTGGTTAGATCATGTAGGAGAGGGGGGGAGCTGCTTATACACAACCTTTTAGGGCCAACCTTGATTGTGAGGGATACATCGTACAGTGTCTCAGCAGACTGACAGAGTTACTCAGTAAAAAAGAAATCACCACATGGGAATCAAACTAACAACTTTTGAGTGTTAAGAGAGCGTCTTGCGGCTACACCACAGATGTTGGTTCTCTTTACTTTACTGGATGGCCAAAATTGTTGCTTGGCGAAGAAAAAAACAAGATTACACCACGATTGTGTAATAGTTTCGCGTTTTAAATCTTTTTATGCAAGTTCTCATGTCTGGGCTGAAAGTTAAAAAAAACAACAAAACAACCCCCAAAACCCATAAATGTTTAAGTTGTTAAGTAAGTTTTTCTTCATAAGACGGGGAAAATATTGTGAAACAAAAATAGAATGAAAGATTATGCCTAGATTGAGTAATGCTTAGGTCTTTTCTTTTTTAAACAAAAGACAAAGTAGAGTTTTACCTTTTTGTTACGGTTGAACCTGTCCATTGTGGTCACTTTAGATGACAGTGACCATTCTTACAGACTGGTGGCCACTATGGACAGGGCCTGAGTTATGACAATGACAATGACAATGACAATGACAATCTTTATTCATCTCGCAGGGAGAAATTTGTCTTGGTCGTTAACAATGGCAGTAGACGTTACAAAAGTTAGACTAAAAGGTGCACTCACGCAAACGCACAACAAGACAGGACATTAGGCCAAGTAAATACATGTCTCACGGGCTGGGACAACCCGCTCCGTAAAACATTCATTCTCTCTGTCTCTGTCTCTGTCTCTGTCTCTGTCTCTGTCTCTGTCTCTGTCTCTCTCTCTCTCTCTCTCTCTCTCTCTCTCTCTCTCTCTCTCTCTCTCTGTTTCATTTGTAGCACTGTGTGTTCAGTAACCTCACTGCAGTTGGTACGAATGAATTTCTATATCTGTCTGTTCTTGCTTTTTTGGAAATGTATCGTTTACTGCGGGTCGATAGTTGAAATTCCGATGTCAGTGAGTGGCTATGGTCACTAAGCATTATTTCCGCCTTTTTAGAACGTTTGTCTTGTGCAGATATTCAAAGTTACTTAGGTCTCTACCAATTGTTCTTGATGCCTTTTTTATCAACTTATTTAGTTTTATAATGTGCTGCCTTCCCAAATTGCTACCATAGCAAGTGATTCCAAAATTTATCAAAGTTTCTATTGTGGTGGTGTAGAAAATCTGAAGGATGGATGGATTCAGATTGAAAGACTTTAGTTTCCTCAGAAAGTACAGCCTCTGATTTACCTTTTTAACGATATTGTTTACGTGGTTTTGCCATGTAAATTTGTTGTCTATTGTAAGGCCAAAATATTTGTATGAATCCGTGATTTCAATAGTTTCTTGTTCAATTACGAGTGGTGGGATTGTTGGTTTTTCTCTTCTAAAATAAAAAATCATTTCCTTTGTTTTTGAGAGGTTCACTTTTAGAAAAATTGAGTTGCACCATTTAAAAAACCTACATATTTCTTCGAAATACTCTTTTTCATCAAGGTTTATTAATCCAATAATAGCGGAGTCATCTGCAAACTTAATTAAGCGTGTTGTTTTATATATACTTCAATACTTGTTGGTATATATAGTATACAAAACTGGTGACAAAACACACCCCTGAGGACCGCCGGTGTTACAAAGAATTGTGTCTGATTTTGTGTTGTTTAGTTTCACATATTGTGGTCTACCTGTCAAAATGCTGCGATATGATGACTAACTCTCAGACTCAGAAGTTTTTCAATGACAATATGTGGTTGAATTGTATTAAATGCTGAGTAAAAATCAACAAAAAGTACCCTCGTATACGTTTTAGATGTTTCAAGGTGTTTCAGTATAGAGTCACAAAAAACAAGTACAGCATCTTCTACGTTCCTCTCTTGTTTGTATGCAAACTGGAATGGATCTAGATTTCCATGAACACAGCCTAGAATATTAGAGAGGATCCATTTTTCAAGGCACTTGAAAGCAATGTATGTAAGAGCGACTGGTCTTAAGTCATTTAATTCATATATTTTAGGCTTTTTTGGTATTGGTATTACCTCCGATGTTTTCCATATTGTAGGAATGTAGTTTTTGTGTAGGGTCAGGTTAAAAATGAAGGTAAATATCGGGGCCAGTTGCTCACAACAAGTTCTTAACAGTCTCCCTTTCACTCCGTCTGGACCACAGGCTTTATGTTTACACTTTGAAATTTCTTTTTAACACTCCGCTCACTGAGCTCAACACACTCCTCCTTGCTCAACTCGTCTCTTAGCCTCTGTTTAAGTTCACGTAGCTCATTCTCAAAATCAAAACAGTCGAAACGACAATAAAAGTTGTTTAGCTCATTTACATAGTCTCCTTCATTTTTTACTTGCACACTCTCTCTCGCTGCAGTATAACCCGTAATTTTTTTCAAAGAGGACCACATATTTCTCATATTATTTGTCTGAAATTCGCTCTCAATTCTAGTTTTGTACGCTTGTTTACAATGAGCAATCTTATGGTCACTTACTAGAGTTGACAAATCCAATTGGTGGTTTAAAATTACAAATCTTAGTTTTTTATGTTTCCTTTTTATTGTCATCCATATTGATAGCTGTCATAACCTAGTGGTTAGGCTACCGGACTCGTAATCTTGAGGTTGCGGGTTCGGGGGTTCAAGCCGCGGACCCGACGTTGTGTTCTTGGGAAAGGCATTTTACACAAATTTTCCTCACTTCACTCAGGTGGGAATGGATACCCAGTCATAGACAGCGAAAGATCTTGTCAACATGTTAGTGTTTTATAGCCTACAAATAGCTGCTTGCACTGTATGCTTCCAAGGAAGTTGAGGTTGTTTCAGAATGCTCTCAGGTCTGCTGGGGTAATACGAGTATAGATTGTAAGGCCCATAGAGCTTGCTGTTGAGTGGAGATTTGCGCTAAACAAATGCTATCTGTTATCTATTAATAAGAGCCCCATTGCACTGATTAAATGTACATCTGATGAAGGGTTGGTAGAAAAATTGTAGTAAATGACCGCCAACTTGTCACAAAAATTGTTTATATCTGATCTTGGCCATGTCAGACAGGGGCCACTATGCAGAAGTGAAAATGTCTTCTCAATAATTATTTACATTAACACCGTTTCACATCTTCACTCACCACAACCATCCTATCTAAAATCATCATTGCTCTCAGACCTTGACATACATCTAGCTATATTTATCTTGATTATAATCTGTCTGTAACAGTTACATGTTATAACAATTATACATGTATTACTCTATTGGACACTATCATACGCTCAATTTTCTACTAATCAGATGGTGTCAATATCATAGAAATGGGTGAATGACAAAAAAAACAACGTATTATATATACAGGTTCAAAATACAGAAAAAACACACAGGTGTCGTGAACCAATGGGCATTAAATTAGCATAGGTGACCGCTATGGAGAGCTGATGGCGACAGCAGGTTTGACTCTTTGATCTGTCTCTCGTCTTCTTTTTCAAAACACTATTTTTTGTGATGCTCTGACCTTGGTGTACTTTTTTTATGTAATGTAGATGAACAAACAACTCTTTAAGTGTGACATGTGATTGTGTTGATTGTCTCCCTCTGTTTCTAGTTGTTGAAAGAAAGCCTGACGGTCAGGCTCGCCTCTTGTCCTATCCGTCTCTCGGTTCTGTCTTTGGTCTTGCTTTTTCTTGGGGCAAGGAAGGACGATGATTGATTGGTCAGTTTGTTTTTTACTCACTCATTCCTTACTGACATCTGATATGGAAGTGGTTAGGACTTAAGCTTTTTGCTATCATTTACAGAATACCTGAATTCCATTCTCGTGTGAAGATAATTTTTATCGAGAGTCTCCTTCTTTTTTCTGAAATGTATTTCTCAAAGCTCGGGTTAGCCCTGACTGGCAGGGTAGGAGCCCACCTCCTAATATGATCTAAAATGTGTCGATGGGTGATTTATAGCCCCTACATTTAAAAAAAATCTTTAAAAAAACCCCAACTTACTCCTTCTAATTTGTTTTTTTTTCTCTTTAGATGCTGTTCAAGTGATGGGACAATCTAGAGAGACATCCAATGCTGAGACAGAGGGAAACAAGACAAACACACCCTCCTTCAGGGAACAACACCTGGCCAGAGAGAGTCAGGAACTGCCCAAAGGACCCTTGACCCTGGATGAGCACCCAGAGGAACAACAAATCACGGCTGCTACTCGACAAGTCGCCACTCGCACTTACCTCCATTCTATGTCTACATGGCCAACCACCTGCCTTCCACCTTCGTTCATTACCACTCAGCCTAAACCATCTGACTCAAACAATTCATCCACTCAAGAGGAGAGTCTCAAGGGGTATTCTTGTAACAGTAAAGTATTGAAACTGTCCTCTGATGAGGAGGGTAGCAAATATGATAAAGTGAATAATCATAAAGCTTTGTACGCAGCATACGAGTACGATACAGGGTGCAGATATCACAGGAAAGGGGTGTTGAGAATGAGACTAGGAGAGAAACGACCCGGGAAGGTTATAAGAGCGACATCTGCAGAGTCTGACAAGTCACAAAGTGGGACTTTTTCTCCAGGAAACGAAATCTTGTTGGCCTCTTCTGTAGATAGACAGTCACGTGTAAATGAAAGCAATAGATTGTTGGCAGCTGGAACAGTTGACAGCTCTAACAGTCAAGCTCTTGTGCCGTATTCAGCCTCAGGGGAGGCTCAAGTCTCCCCAAAGTGGTTGGGTTTTTTCACTTTCGCTTTAGCCCAAGTCACGAGTGCTGTGTGGATGATACTAGACGAGCCTCCAAGAACCAGTGTAGCCTCTGCTTTGTCTCGTTCTAACAGTCCCCAAAATGTGCCATATGGCAGAAGTCCCAGAAAAAAGTCAAGTGATCTGAAGCAACAGTATTTGGCAACAAAGCTTGAAGTCCATAAAACACAAAACAGTTCTCATCATCTCAGAGACCAAGAGGACCCCCTTCTTCTCTCTCCCGTGTCCATTCGGTCAACCTATTCTTCAGAGAGCTTCGAAATCATCGATGCTTCAATGGCTGCAGAGGAGTCAGAGGTCGCCATGCTCTGGTCAGAATATGAAGACTGTCAAAGGGAAAATCCTGACTTTGATGCTTACTCAGGAAGAGAGCCCTCAAATGTTAAACCCTCAGCTCAGATGACAAACTCAAGTGCTGAATTGATCAACTTTGACTTCAGTAGTCTGGTTTCAAATCGGCAATGGCCAAATCAGTCACTGGAGGTTGATGTAACACCGCAGGAAGCAGCAGGAGGAGAACTTTGTACTTCTAGTCATGATTGGGTTGAAAACCACTTTACTTCTGATGGTAAAGCTCCCCAGTGTCAGTGTCGGGGGGAGGGCTGCAACAGTTCACCGCCTTGTACTGTCCACCTGTATGTTGTGGAGAGTGATGACGGGAGCAGTTCCTTTGATGTACTCTCTGACCCTGGAGAGGAAGAGTTTATTATGTTTTAACTTCCACAAGGTCTGCTTTGCAGGCACTCTATGGGTAATAGATATATTCCATTCCTTCATCTGTTTATTAGTTTAATTTTTGTAGAAGTTGGAGTCGCTATGTTATCTTCGATGTGAATGTTTTTCTACTTTCTCAAATACTTTTTTAAAAGATAATTTTAAATTAATGCCATACCTGAATTTGAAAATGTTTCTTTTTTTTTTCTAGTTAAACAAGAATTTTTAGATTTATACTATGCTCTCTATACTTGGATACTATAGTGCAGAATTTTGCCTCTGTAGGCTATTATAAACAGTCTTGTAGAGCTCAATATTTGCCTTCAGGAACGATGCTTGGAAATGTGAGTGTTTGTATCCCAGGAGTGTCTGTATTATGATGTCCTTACTAGTCTTTCCCTTAGTTTTGCTGTTTGGTGTTGTACTTGTTGTTCACTACTTGATTGTTGTTGCTATATAATTTGAAAGAAATGGAACATAATATGTTGTCACTACAAGCAAATGCCCATATTTTGATGATTGACATTCAAAATGATGTTAAAACAAAGTAGGAATGGAGAGAACCCTACAGGCCATGAACTGTGATTATCTTGTACTAATTCGGATTTCTACCTTTTGAAAGTTTTTATTCACAGCTAACAAGTCTGTTGGAAAATTTTCCCTTCGAGCATAAAATCGTCACAGGAATGCCTGTATTCCATTGAATTTCAGTTTCAATTTTCACCTGCTCACATTTTCAAGGCTGGAATTCAGTGCTTTCAGAGGGATTTACAACAATTACGAAAATTGAGTAAGGACAAGATAGCATTAAGCTTACAAGATGCAATAGTATTAGCTTTATTTTTAACATCTGGAAATTGGTGTCACACTTTCTCAGATTATCTTTATGGCAGCTTTACGATTTTTCACCCTAAATGAATCTCTTTAAAGCAAAGGTGAGATGTAGCTGTTGTGCAGCTGCATGAAATATATACTGAACAAAATTATATCACCAGATCTTTTGATACTCTAAAGCAAAATAAATGCTGGTGGTTGTGAATAAAAGAAATATGATTTAATCGCTTTTTCTGTGACCTAAAATGTTACTAATTGACAAGTGCTTGTGTGATACAGTTGGTGTTGGGATCTAACCTTCAAATCAACTTATACTCACAGAAGAGAGAGGTTAATCTGTTTTCTTTGAAATATTGTGTTTGGATTTTTGTACAAAGTTGTTGGGTTTGTGGATGTAAATGAGTTAAACCTGCTTCTTACAGAAAAAAGAACTGGGTTCAATATCAATTATGAATGCTTTCCGTTCCAGACCATTTGCCTCTCACTCTCTGTTGTGTAGTCAAACCATTTTGGTGGTCTTTTTTTTCCCATTTACAACTGTTGTTATCAATGTTTTCTATTCTTTTTTCTGGAGAAACTCACATGTGTCCTATATCAAAATACAGGAAAGTGAATATTCTATTACGAAGCGTTAGGAAAAATAAGGGGTTTGTTCGACTGTCAGGACTCGAAGAGTGGAGGATAGTATTTTTAAAAAATTTTTGAGCCCCAAAATGCTGCTCATGGCCATAAGACATGGGTCACACAAGTCTTTTTGTGGCTCGCCATAGTTTAATTTTAGATTTGCCATACTCATTTACTTTAGACTCCACAGCCACCAAAGTGATGACAGACAAATATTATACTCATGTCCTGGCAACACTCCCTCTAGGAACAGTGATGAGAATACTCATTTTTGAAGAATGCTTTCGTACAAACATGGTCTTCTTTACTGTATCTTTTTTATATATGTTGCATCGATGATTTAGTGGTTAGGCTATTGGGCTCATTAATGAAATGTGTTTGGTTCAAACCCTGTCAGTGGGTGGTTGGCGGGTGCTCTGGTGTGGTTTGCTTCTTCTTTCCCATCAAACATCTATTTTCCTTATCTCCAATCCTTCTTTATTATGTTTGTTACTCTCTTATAACACCTCTAATCTTCTGGCGCTCATATGACCTCATGCAGTTGCGAGCGCCATAAAACCTCTACTAAAACAAAAACCCTCTCAGGGACCTCAATATAGTGTTAAAATTTACTTACATTTTCCTCACTTAACCCAAGTGAGAATGGCTGCCCAGTTATAGACATTGACGTGAAAGATTTTGTTCGTTTTTAGTTACAGTGTTTGAACATTTAATTGGCTGCTTACACTGCATAGATTCTAGTTCCTGGAAAGCCAAGACTGTCTCTGAGTCTTCTTGTTCTAGGGTCTGCTGGGGTAATGATTTAGACAACTACAAAGAAGCCTATACATAGAATGTTATTATTATTATTATTGTTGTTTTTGTTTTTGTTGTTGTTATTATAAACCGATTAGGTCTGTTATTATTATTATGATTTTTATTTTGTATTATTGTTACTATTATTGTTTTTGTTATTAACTTATCTTGATCTCCAAACATGAACTAAACAGAAATTTACATGTGTTTGTTTCCTGTGCACATGTACTTTAGAACTACAAATTATTTCAATCTTAGGGATGGTGTTTGGCAGACGCTTTGGTGTGGTTGGCTCCTTCTTTCCTATTAACCCTATCCATACACCTTGTTTTACTATTGTTTCCATACGATGTGGGGGCGTACCGATAGAGTTAAACATCTTTATCCTTATATATCTCCTCCTTCTTTCCTCTGTATGTTACTCTCTTGTTACATTATAGTAATGCCTGCATTCTTCAGCACTTTTATGACCTCTTTGTATTGCAAGTATGTGCTATAAAACTAACTAAAACTAAACTCAATGATGGACATAGTTTTTTTAATAGAAAGCATAGCTGGAAGTGTTGTTTTTGATTGAGCTGCCAGCCACAGAATGTCTGATTACTATTAAAGTTTTGTGTTGAGAGCTGTTATGGAAGAGAATAGTGTAATTGTATTTTTATTTTTGATGTAAGTGTTGTACACCTCCATTGACACTATTTAGAGCATGTTGGCATTGGGCTTTAAACCTGTCTGTAAGGGACAACCTGAGCTGAGAGGGAAAGACTGGGATACTTCCCTCCAGACACACCTGGATACTTGATAAAAATTCTACTTGCTTTGTAATTGGACCCAAGTCTCCTGTTTTTTTCAGTTTAGTATAGGGTTTTACGGCGCTCGCAACTGCATAAGGGTCTCCTGTGTGTGAGAAAAGTTTGAAAAACTGAGAGTGAAAATGGTGAAGTCAGAGAACATGGAAGTAAAAGTCTTCCTCAGGTCTCCAGCTTAATACTGTGTTTCTTTCTTTATCTTGAAAATTGTCAAGACAGCTGTTACAAGACTAGGTGAACATTTTACAGTGTATTAGAAAAACAAACAAAAACCAACATGTATAAAAATTCATCATTCAAACCACCAGCAATGATACCATGCAGCTATCCAGTCATTGTTGTCATTTGTTCAAGAATAACATAATTTGGTATGTCCTTCCAATGATTTATGTAACTGTAAGTGTGTGGTGTGTGTGTGTGTGTGTGTGTGTGTGTGTGTGTGTGTGTGTGTGTGTGTGTGTGTGTGTGTGTGTGTGTGTCTCTCTCTATCTCCCTCTCTCTCTTTCTGTG